GTTATCCAATCTTCTCTTGAAACACTCCTGTGATGGAGCACCCACAACTTCTGAAGGCAAGCCATTCCACTGAATATTTGTTCTCACTGTCAAGAAATGTCCTCTTAGTTCTAGGTTGGATCTCTCTTTGATGGTCTTCCACCATTACTTCTTGTCCTGCCCTCTGGTGCTTCAGAGAATAAGTCAACCACCTCTTCTCTGTGACAGCCCCTTAAGTACTGGAAGACAGCTATCATGTGACCGCTAATAGTTCTCTTTGATAGGCTAGACATATGTAGTTCCCTCAACCATTCATCAGACAGTTTAGCCTCCAGACCCCTTATCATCTTTGTTGCTATTTTCCACACTCCTTCTAGGGCCTCAGTAAGTTTTTTTTATTGGGGTGACCAGAACTCGCTGCAGTATTCCAAGTATGGTCTCACTAGTGTAATATAAAGTGGCACTGTCACCTCACGTGATTTTGAAACTATCCCTCTCTTGTTGCAACCTAGGACTGCATTAGCTTTTTTGGCAGCTGCAGCACAGTGCTGGCTCATATATAAGTGGTGGTCCACTAGAGCACTTAGATCTTTCTCACAGTTACTACTGTTGACCTACTGTTGACCTTACCTTTTCACCATTGAACTGCATCTTGTTGTATAGGGCCCAATACTCAAGTCTGTCAAGATCCTTTTGAATATGTTTGCAATTTCCCCCAGCTTGATATCATCTGCAAATTTCCCTTCTATCCCTTTATCTAAATCATTTGTGAAGATGGTGAAGAGTACTTGGACTAAGACAGAGCCTTGAGCTACCCCACTGCATGCTTCCTTCCATATAAATGCAGCTCCATTGAGAACTACCCACTGAGTAAGGTTGGTCAGCCAATTGGGAATTGGTGGTGATGCTGTCTGTCCCACATTTTTCTATCTTATTAAGAAGTAGGCTATGGTCTACTTTGTCAAATGTTTTACTGAAGGGTAAGTAAACTATATCCACAGCATTTCTCCAATCCACTAATTTAGTCACTTTGTCAAAGAAGACAATAAGGTTTGTCTAGCATGATCTGTTTTTAACAAACCCATATTGGCTTTTAGTAATCACTTTACTTATTTTTTTACTTATTTTTAAACCATGGTTTCTGATCCTTTTTCTTTAAGGTTTATAAGAGACATCAAACTGTTATCTCAATTTTTTCTCATGCAATAGTCACTATCTAAGCCATAGTTTGAAAGTCGTGTTCTTTGAAGAATTTGTACATACTCTATCTCTCCAGTAGAGCCAGTAGTGGGTTTCACTTATCTTTGCTACCGGTTCGGAAACGTAAGCGCACCTGTGCGCATGCTCTGCTTGTGTGTGATGTTTCTGCACATGCACAGAACCTTCTGCCCATGCGCAGAGCATTTTTGATGACATCCAGGCGGGCGAGCAGAGCCTTACACCGCCGCCACTGGTTCACCTGAACCGGGGCGAACCGGTAGAAACCCACCACTGAGTAGAGCACATTTTTCATGAAGTATGACATGTCAGATCTATAATATATATTTCCCCCTTTAAGATAGTCATTGTGAACCATAACAGGGTGGGGTTTTTTTAATTTATTAGATCTTTCATTTCATTATTTTGACTTTCCCATGGTTCTCATTGGAACAAGAATTCTATGTGTGTAGCATCCAAAACAGTCACAGGCCAAAGGCAACAGAATCTATAAATTAATTGGTCACATATTCTGACTAATATCACTTATCTGTGCTGTGCTGTGCTGTGCTATGCTATGCTATGCTATGCTATGCTATTCTTTCTACTTTTATCAGTAGTTTTAGTTTTGATTTAACAAAGGGACATTCCAAATTAAAATTTAATGAAGTGTCTGCTTTAGCCAATTCTCCATTGAGAGTGGAGACAGCAGCCAGTATGGGTAATACTCACCCAATCAGCCTGAAGGACTGAGTCTGTCAATAATGTTAAGTCCCGCCCTTGTTGCCGGGCAGACCAGCTTTTGACTCAATCCTTCAGTCAGGACTGGTGTGTGGGTCTCTAGCTCTTCCTATATTTCTTAAATTGCCTTCTGATTTTTTGGATTTCTGGTGTTTTTTCGATTTGGCTTGTTTGACTACGAACTCTTCTTTATCCTTTGGATTCTGGTTGCCTTTGGACTGTACTGTGAGTTATTATTAGCCTGTGTATCGGGACTTTATTACCTGCTGACTAAAAAGGTTTTTTCTCCCTTCGGGGGAGAATCCCTTGGGGGGTTTCTTCAAAGCTTGCCAGGGATCGCAGCTGGCACTAGCCGGAGCCCTTGCTGGATCGGGCCCCTTCTCTACCGGCCGTGCCACTAACTACTGCTTGCTTGTCGGCCAGTTTTCGCGCCGTTGGGGCGGCGGTGGCCATTTTGCGCCCTTTCGCGCCGTTTGGAGCAGCGCTTCTTCGCAACAGTTTAGTTCGGCTCCTAGCTATCTGCATCGCCGATCGGGCTTAAATTGGAGACTTAAGCCACTTGAGCTTGTGGATTGCGGCTTAC